CCCTATAGACATAAATAATCATTACTTACTTATGTAAAATGTAATTCGTTTTTCTATATCATAATAAAGAGATTGAGAAAAGACCTTGTTTAAAAAAAAAAAAAAAAAAAAAAAAAAAACAAAATAAAATTGCTTTAGAATCTATTTAAATTAGAGTATTCATTTTAGATAAACTAGAATTTTTTTTTTGTGAATAATCTTAATAGCTGTATAAACAAATAACTATAGCATATTTTACTTGAGTCTAAATAGGCATTATATATTTTGAATTTGGAACAGACAAAGTTTGATGATGATTATTATGAATATTGTTACTACTATAAAATCTTCAAACTAATCACTTATGCATTAGTTTAAATATGACTATTTTGATATAAAAGATTAATTCCTAAGAGTATTCTCAAGCACCTATTTTAGTAAGAATCTGATTGGTTAATTTGATTAGACAAACTAATCAGATTCACTATTGAGCTATTGAAATAGATGCATCAAATCTAATTATTACTAATATTAATATATGATATAAGATGAGTATTATTTTAAAACAGACAAAAGCATTATTTCAAAGCAGCTATACTATTTTAGAAACAGGACTTTCAAATAACACTATTTCGAGAATTTACAGTACAAAGTATATATAGAATTCACCAAATTCAGATTGCCAATTCAGAATATAAATTATATTATATAAAACTAAACATCTAATACTCTAACTCTAATTCTAACTACTAATAACCTAATACTCTTACCTTAACTCTAACCAAATCTAGTGTTTACTTTTTTTTTTGTTTTTAGAATTTAATTTACAAGTATTGGCATAGTGACCTGTATTATTATAATAGAAATATTTGCGCATTGATTTGTTTGTAATATTAGATTCATTAAGTACTTTATTAGATTTAAGAATTTAATGAGAATTCGATTTGTTAATAACTTCTAAAGAGTTATATAACTACTTCTTTAGTTAACTATGATATAAAATAATATAAAGATTTGTTACTAATCTAATAATAACTGATCTTAATAAGTTGTCAACTTGAATAGATTTTGATTCAATAAAGATATATATTAGGCTAATAAACTTATTTATAGTATCACTATTTAGTACAACTTAGATATCTTTTTTAGCAATGCCAATACCTTGACAATACAAAGCTTTCTTAGATATGTATTATTGAACTTCATCATTAAAACAGTCTAGTCTTCTAATCTGTTCAATTATAGTAAAGTTACTACTTGATTCATTATTTTGTATTTCTTATATATCTGTTACAGTATTTGTAATAGTAATAGTACTTAGTTGTTTAATTATATTTGTAGGATTCATAAACTATTATCAAGGTATCATTTGTACTTGAAACTTAATAAGTAAGGAGATGACCAGAACAGAAAAGAAGTGTCAACAAAAAAACCTCTTGCAATAAGTGACATACAAGAACATAAATGAGTTTCATTATATAGAACTATAATATAATGTTTACTATAAGATACTAGATTACTAAATAATCTAATTTGCCAAATTTTACTAATACTTTGAGTTTCAACAATTTAAGTATTGATAAGAGTAGAATATAGCCTTCCTGATAATCATCCTTAAGAAATCTAGTAGTATATTCTAAGTTATTATTCTAATTACACAAATGAATTAGTAATTAGTTATAAACTTAAGATAATTTTGATTAAATACTTACTTGGTTAAAGGTTGAATTGTTAATTCTATATGAGTGATAAAGTCAAAATTGACTAATCTAAAGTCTTTGACAAGCAAGTGCTTCAAAAGTCAAATATTTTTTTTAAAATTTCATTGATTTAAGAAAAAAAAGTACTATGAATAGTAGGTAGACTAATAGATAGAAGCTGATTTCTATATTCAGATTTATGTTGGTATTTAGTCTCATTTTCAATTTATTTTTTGATACCTTCTACTAATCTTGTAAGCGTTGTTTATACTCTAACCTTAGCTTTTAATATGCTATTAATGTATTCGCATATTGTATACTATTTATACTAGTATAAAAGATTGTGCAGATATAAACTAAAGTCTACGTATATTATGATCTATATAATTAATGCAGGTAATATTCATGTTCAGGAAAATTATTCACTAATTGTTGCTACCTACTTTTGAAAAATTCTTTATATTTACTATTACATGCACAATAAAATTGTTTAAGAAAATTTTATATTGAACTTGACCAAGCTTTCGTACAAGATTTTTAGCAAGATTTTAGCTAATATGAAACAAGCAATACTAGTATTTGGTGTTAGAAAATTTGTTATGAATTGCAGTAGCTAGTTCAGGATCACTATTTATAAAAATAGTTTGTAGTATAAGATTATTGTTTAAATGTTTTAAGGATTACAATATCCATTTAAAGTTAGTTTGTGTTTTATCTTGAACAAATACTTATACAAGCATTCTTATTCAGTTATAAGAATTAATACTGATAAAAATATTTAATAACATTCTATAAATATTTGTTTTATAAGTGTTATCATTCACAACTATATCATAAAACTGTTCATACAACATAGACTGATTAGGCTCTGCCAAAAAAGACAGGCTAAAGAAGTATCAGCACCTTTAAAATATATATTAATCTTCTAATTCAGATCTTCACACTGCTTAGAAATCAAATATTCAAGTATCAGAGCAGCATCCTAGTTAATTTTTGAGGTAGCAGAAGTTTTGTAACATCAGATTTTATTATAAAGATCTTTAGAATAAATATTAACACCAGAAAACTTATTAACAAGACACCATCTTTGCTATTTAGCATTATATTCATATTTTTGAATCATAAACTTAATTTTATTTAAAATATCCTGTGACAGTTATTGCAAAGATAGTGCAAATTCCTCATGATATGGTATAAGACTATAATTATGCTCTTCAATAAGTTTATTAATGTAAATTTTTTGTTTGGTTTTTTTTGTAGCTAGTATTGCATTGCTATAGGTACTATGTTTTTTTTGAAGATATTTGTTAAGCTTAAGTATAATCAATATTATGTTTTGTTTTAAATTTCCAGAGTATTCATACTCAAAGCACCAATGAATGATATTTCTAGTTTCATTGTCTGTATTTTGTTATTCTTTTATTGGTTTAAACCTATTTTCTCTTCTATAATATTCAAGACTTTTTTTAAGTGATATCTAAGAAAGAAAGCTAGCACTAGAAATAATTGGCTATATAATAGTACTAGAATTATCAGAATCAGTAGTAGCTTCAGACTATTGTCTTCAGTTTCTATTTGATTACTTTGATCAACTGATATATATTGTAATTCTAGTAAAAGTAAATTATTTTCTTCATTCAAATCAAAATAATTATCATAGATTATAAAGCTTAGACTATAGAGCATACTTTGAAATTCTCTATACACTTGAAACACTTCTATATAAAGTAATAATTCTGGTGCAATAAATAGCCTAAATTAATAAAATTAAAGAATTAGTTAAATATAAGTGCATGCTAACATAAATTATTATATGGAATGCCAACTTATCTAATATTTTTTCAGTTTGAGATTCTTGTAGGGCTATACTTTTCAAGAAAAAAAAACACCAAAAACAATTACTTATTTTTCATTGAAATATAATATTTCTGTTTTTTTTTGTTTTTTTTGTAGTTGTTAAACTCCAATTGTCACTTATTGCCTTATAAGTACTAATTATTGCAAGTTAATAAATGTTCATCTACTTGATATCAGCTCAACAGTTTGAATTATACTTTATACCTACTTTGGTTTTACTAATTGATTCATTATTGTAGTGCCAGACTTCTAAAATACTATTTAGGTACATATGCACTAGTTTTGAACAAGTAATTAAAGTAAAAGTTTGATTTTGTTCTATCAAACTCTCATATGATACAATTTTGACTACATAACTTTGTTAACATTATAGTTACTATTACACTTTAACTATATTGGTATTTAATTAGTCAATTTATTTTATTAATCATATGACTGGTGATATAATCACTGGTGATAAAAAATAATATACTTATTTAAATTCTAAATATCTGTAGAATTCAAATAAAAAAATTATCAAAATTGGTCAGGTAGTTGTTAAGATATCTTTACTCAAAATAAGTAAAAAAATTTAAAATAACTATTAAAATAGAAGCTGTATTAAAATTTTTTAAAACATTAAGTGAAAATTTCTTGAAAATTATCTAAGAATTCAATTAAAAAATTTTTATTTATATTGATTAGGTAGTTGTTGAGATATATTTGCTCAAAGTTTTAAAAAAATTTTGATATAGTTAGCAGTTAACAGTAAAATATAATATATAAATAAAAGTAAAAATTGAGATACTGCTACTTTGATCAATATTTTAAATTGTTTACTAACTTTAAGCAAAGTTATCTTAACAACTATCTAACTAATTTTAATTAAATTTTTTTATTTGAATTCTATAGATTTGCAGAATACAAATAAAAAATTTTTGTTTGATTTTAGTTAGGTGACTGTTAAGATATCTTTACTCAAAGTTTTAAAAAAATTTTAACACAGCTTTTATTTTAATAGATATTTTGAATTGTTTACTAATTTGAGCAAAAATATCTTGACAACTATTTGACCAATTTTGATTAAAATTTTTTGTTTAAATTCTACAGATTCATATAATTTAAATAAAAAAATTTTTATCAATTTTGGTTAGGAGGTTGTCAATATATTTTTTTTCAAAGTTCAAAAATCTTTAATTTTTATGAAATATAAACTAGCTTTAAGATAACCTTGGCCTATGATCAACATAATTCAGTCTGAAATTATAGAACAATTTTTATACAGTTAAACCCTAGATTAGATAATTTTATAAGTAGCAAATATACTAAGACAACTTTTTAATAATACCTAATTTCAATAAACATATTTGACTTTTAATAAACTTTTGAGTTTTAATAAAAATATACTTTAAAACCAAAATCTTAGTAATAGTAAGATTCTTGGTTTTCAGACCAAACCTTCTATATCTTTTTTTTTGAGTTGTCTTATATCTTTGTATTATATTTATTATATTTTAATTATGAAAATCTAGTAGCTCCAAATCTGCTTCTTAAATTTTAGTAGTAACTATAAGATAAACTAAAAATAACCTAATATTAAAGCTAAAATCTTGAGGCAAGAAATAAGATGAATCTGCTTATAAGTTATAACAATAGAGCCTAGTTTAATAAGGAATAAGACTTGTACAAAAAGAATAAAGTGTCTATATATTAAAGAGCTATAATAAATATTAAAAAAAAAATATAATTGTAAAATGAAAAAAAGGTCTAAGTAGTCTTAACTTCTTAACTTAGTACTTCTAATCAAAGTTACTTCTTAAAGATATCTAAAGTCTGAAAAACTCTTCACTCAAACTTTACTAATAAATTCTTTATAATTTTATGCATAGTATATATAAAATACAGCTGAAAGAATTGTGAGAAACAAAACATGATCTAACTATAGACATATAAGTAAATAAAAAAATATAATTTAGATATAAGTATATAAGAAATATGATTATAACCTGAACTAAAGTTCTGAACTAAAGCTTTCTGAATCAAGGTTCTGAACTAAAGCTTTCTGAACTAAGGTCCTGAACTGAAGCCTTCTAAACAAAGATTCTAAACCAAAGCTAAGCTACAAGATTCTACATATGAAAGTAGTATTTAATAAAATACTATATTGGATTTAGCTTGAGATGAAGCTCATTAAGAATAATTGAATAATAGCTTTATGTTATAGTCATGTAAATAAATTATTGTAGCTTGAAAATTTTCCTTCTCCTCTCTCCTAATACTTAATTTAGTTAAGCTGTATCAAAACTTCTGCTGTATTTCTCTTGTATAAAAATTCTGTAATTTCTGTTAATAAAAAAACAGTTAAGTAGAGATAAGTTATTATTTAATATTAATAAAGATACACCTTAAAACCAGAATCTTAGTAGCAGTAAGATTCTTGATTCTCAGACCAAATCTTTTATACCTTTCTTTTGAGTTGCCTAAATTTAGATCAATTTATGGCATTATAGCATTATAGCATTTTTTATATTTTTAGCATGTTGCTTTAAAATACCTAAATGCCAAAATTATTTTCAGCAGCTGAAAATAATTATAGCAGCCAAAAATAATTATAACAACTAAAAATAATTTCAGTAGCTAAAATAATTTCAACTAGAGATAGATAAAAAGTCTGATCTTCAACTAGTTAAATACTAGTTTACCTTATACATATGTATCTAAATTCAGTTTGATTTATAGCATTATGACATTTTTTATCTTTTTGGTGCTGAAAATAAACTTATAATTTATTGCAGCTACAGGTTCAACTCCTTTTGACATTCAAATTCTTAGAATTAGTCAGACATCAAATGCTCATAGATCAAACAAGTTATACATACTTACAAATTAATATGCATATATAACATATACAACTAACTTGATCTATGATCGTTTAATATTTGATTAATCAAATATTTGATAGTGCCATTGTTCACCTTGTAATTTTGACCAATCAAATTTCAAAACTACTTTTTTACAAAAACAAAATATAGTATTCTAAATGTTAATTAGGAAGCTACCTTCTACGATCTAATTAAAACTGTTTCTTGTAAAATTTACTAATAGAGTTGTATTAATCTAATTTTAACTCATATAATGCAGTTTTGCTTAATTTTACATGCAACTATTTACTTCACGTTACATCTGATCTTAAATCTTAATTGGTCAAAAATTACAAGAACGAACATTTTTTGTGGGAAAGTCCTTCAAATGGCCTTTATAGTTAGTTATATAAATGTCCGAAGCTTCAATCTCTACATAAGATAATACAAAAGCTATGTTGTTGGTGCAATTTTTTCATAAAAAAATAATTTTTTTGATATATTTGCATATAAATCATATCAAAACGGCAATTTAGAAAACTTTTGTCTGTTCGCATGCTGCACGTGTGTATAATGGATAAGTATCATTTTATCGACAATTGCTTCGCCGAACACCCCATCACACAAGGCGATGATTAATATTTAACGATTGTTTGATGATGAATAATTATTGTTCCAATATTACTTCTTACACTGTGCATGGTGAAGTGATCGTTGATGAAATGATACGTATTCTATATTTTAGGCACAAATGTATAATAATAACATAAGAAAATATTTCCAGCATTAGAAAATATTTTCAGCAGCTGAAAATATTTTAGGCAGCTGAAATTATTTTAGCAGCTGAAATTATTTTAGGCAGCCAGAATTATTTACTGTTTAGGCAGCCTAAAATATTTTCAGCAATTTTATTTACGGCAAACCAAAAATAATTTAGGTACTCATGTGTATATATATTATCAAAGACTATATAAATGTCCAGAGCTTCAATCTCTATATAAGGCGATACAAAAGCTAGGCTTGATGCAATTCTTTCATAGAAATGTAATTTTTTTGATACATTTGCATATAAATTCTTATAAAAATTGTATCAAAACAGCAATTTAGAAAATCTTTGTCCGGACGCGTGTATAATGAATACGTATTATTTCATTGACAATCGCTTCGCCGAACACCCCAACACGCAAAGCGATGATTAATATTTAACGATTGTTTGATAATTAATAATTATTGCTCAATATTACTCCTTATGCTGTGTGATGGGTGTTCGGTGAAGCGATCGTTGATAAAATGATAGGTATTCAATATTTTAGGCACACATATATAATAATGATGTCAGAAAATATTTTCGGTATTAGAAAATAATTTCGACAGCCGAAATTATTTTAGCTGTCGAAAGTATTTTAGGCAGCCGAAATTATTTACGGTTTAGGCTGCCTAAAAAATTTTCGGAAATTTTCGTTTTCGGCAAACCAAAAAGCAATTTGGCGCCCATGTATACCCATCACTAGGGATGTTAAAAGTCCGGTCCGGTCCCGACTCGATTCCAGAAGTCGAGTTTTAATTTAGATTCGGTCCCAAATCAGACTTGGGACCGAGTCCCATAGTCACATGAAATACTAGATGTCATATGTAGGATCATAAAGATAACGATAACTTTATTTAAAAAAAATTAAGGGGAATTTACAAATAAGGACCCAAAAATGTAAAATAATTACATTTAAGAGCCCTATTTTGGAAAATTTACTATATCTCACGATACAGTAAACGAAATTTAATGATTTTGATACCATTCGAATTGTCTTATCGAGACGAGCCGAATGGTACTAAAATCGCTAAATTTTAATAACAGGATAACGAGATATTATGATTTAAACAGACTTTAGAAAATGTTAAATAACTCGTAATCCAGTAATTAAAATTTGGTGATTTTGGTACCATTTAATGCGTCTCAATGAGACGATTCGAATGGTATCAAAATCGTTAAATTTCATTTACGGTTATCATGAGATATAATAAAAACTGATAAAAATTATTAAAATAGGGCCACTACATATATGTAATTATTTTACATTTTTGGGCCCTTATTTGTAAATTCCCCCAAAAATTAATACAACGATAACTGATAAGGCCATTCAAAGTTAATTACTTGGTTCTCATAACATGAAATTTTAAATCAGGCGAATTTTTTTTCAAATTTCATATATTAGATATGAGAACCATTGATTTATAGTAACAAAAAACCGAAACTCGTTTTTTGTTGAAAAGTTAAAAAAAAAAAAAAAAAAAAAATTTAAAGTTTTTATCATTATCTTTATGATCCTATGACATCTAATATTTCGTGACTATGGTACTCGGTCCCAAGTCTGATTTGGGACCGAGTCTAAATTAAAACTCGATTTCTGGGACCGGACCGAACTTTTAACATCCCTACCCATCTCTAATTATGTGACACCACATTATGAAGCGTCATACAAATAGGTACGTACATATTTATAACGATAACAAAAAACAAACGGAAGCAATCACATACTTAAAAATGATTGCAGACGAATTATACACACTAGGTGAAAAATATTATTATGGAACTGGTGTTGAAATAAATAAACATGAAGCATTCATCTATTTTCAACAAGCCGCTGATATGGGTCACACTGAAGGAACATTTAAAGTTGGTTATTGTTATCGAAATGGAATCGGGGTTGAAAAGGATGAACATAAGGCTTTCATTTATTATCAAAAATCTGCTGATATGGGTCATGTTAGAGGAACGTTTAATGTTGGTACCTTTTATGATAAAGGAATCGGAATTGAAAAGGATGAACATAAGGCATTTATTTATTATCAAAAATCTGCTGATATGGGTCATGTGAATGGAACGTTTAATGTTGGTATCTTCTATGCTAAAGGAATCGGCGTTGAAAAGAATGAACATAAGGCATTCATTTATTATCAAAAATCTGCTGATATGGGTCATGCTGATGGAATAATTGAACTTGGTGTCTGTTATGATGATGGAATCGGAATTGAAATGGATGAATATAAGGCATTTATTTATTATCAAAAAGCCGCTAATATGGGTCATGTTAATGGAACATATAATGTTGGATCTTGTTATCAAAATGGAATTGGGGTTGAAAAGGATGAACATAAGGCATTCATTTATTATCAAAAAGCCGCTTATATGGGTGATGTTGATGGAATGATTGGGGTTGGTATCTGTTATGAAGATGGAATCGGAGTTGAAAAGGATGTCCATAAGGCATTCATTTACTATCAAAAATCTGCAGATATGGGTCATGCAGTTGGAATGAATAATATTGGTACTTGTTATCGTTATGGAATCGGAGTCGAGAAGAATGAATACAAAGCGTTCGAATGCTTCAAAAAGGCTGCTAATATGAATGATATTCGTGGAATAAGTAATCTCAGTCATTGTTATCGAAATGGAATCGGAGTACAAAGAGATATTCAAAGAGCTAATCATTGGTATCGAAAAGAAAGAAGTCTTAAAAAAACCAATAAATCTTCATGTGAAGATATCGATAATAGCCTTAAAAAAATATTGAATGATGAAAATTATAAATTATCATGGATTAATTACGATGAATTCAATTATATACGAGAAATAGGAAAAGGTGGATTCGCTACCGTATTTTATGCATATTGGCTTAATAAAAATGATAACATTTATGAAACAGTTGCGCTTAAACTCATTCACGGTTCGAACAAAAATGTAGAAAATTTCGTTCAAGAATTGAAGAATTATTGCGATATAGGTTACGAAAATCCATCATTTTTAGGATGTCATGGTGTATCAAGAGATTATGCAACTAAAGATTATATCATTGTTTTGAATTACGCAAGTAAAGAGTCATTACGTCAGAATCTTGAATCTGTGTCTCAATTAGGATGGAAAGATAAGTTAAATATAGTGTACTGTATTGCTTCAGATCTTGAATCCATACATTCTCAAGAACTTATTCATCGAGATTTACATAGTGGCAATATATTGCAAGATAATTTATATAGCGCTTACATCACTGATCTAGGACTTTCTTCTAAAAATAAAAATGAAGGAATAATTTGTGGTATTTTACCTTATGTTGCACCCGAAGTCTTGTTAGGGAAACCATTCACACAGGCAGCTGATATCTACAGTTTTGGGATCGTCATGACAGAAATATCAACAGGAAAAAGAGCCTTAGACGGTGAAACGTTTGATTTTAGACTTGGATTAAAAATTTGTGACAAAAAAAATCCTTTAAGGCCAGAATTTGCATCTGGAACACCAAATTGTTACATTGAATTAGCTAAAAGATGCATGGACAAAGATCCGAATAAAAGACCTAATGCAACTGTAATTAGTGGTAAAATTATTCATTGGTTAGACGAGATAACACAAGATAATAATAACGAAATCAAAAAACAAATCTTAGAAGCTGATAAAGTCAAACCAGAATTAATCGAACCAAAACATCCGAATCAAATATACACTAGCAAATCAATAGATGTAAATCAAATTACTGAAGGATTATCTGAATTAGTGATCACTGATGATATTTAAAATGAAAACTTCAATTTTATTATCTGATATTAAACATATTGTTATATACGTATGTTGAGCCTAATTATTATTATTTTTTAACTATGCTATTACAATATAAGCAAATTTAATCGCGTTATACTTTTTGGAGATCACTATAAATTAAAGTTACGTACCGCATAATTTTTTGGGTAATAACGCGACATTTAGTTAAAATACTTTATTAATTCATTTATAAACTGAAAAAGATTTATTTTCATAGAATATTTTTAATAATTAATCAGCTAACTATTATCATAGAATATTTTTAATAATTAATCAGCTAACTTTTATCATAGAATATTTTTAATAATTAATCAGCTAACTATTATGTATTATTACCTCGATCACTTAAGATAAAATAAAGTTATCAAGATTATTTTTACCATTATTTTTTCGTATAAAAAAAGTTATATTAGCGTTAATTAATTATAAAAAGACTTCATTACGTACCTCTTAATTATTCAAAATAATTCATCAAGATAATTCTTATTATGACGTAAAAAAACGATTTTATTTACAATATCAGGATCTACATAAATATTCGAAATAATTTTAAGGTTTTCCTTATGTTCATTTTTTGATAATTTGGTCGAATAAGAAGTTGCAGGTATTGCCAAATATTTCCTTGCAAGAATAGCTAATCCGGGAAATAAATCTTTGTACTTTCGCCACCATTCATATGGATCAATACTTTGTTGTTGTGGTAAGGCAAGATAACTATCAAGGTCCTTGATCGCCTTTTCTTGAGGATTTTCATGAAGATTTTTTTGTGAATTCGTTTCATTTAAAAACGTAAAGTTTGAATTCGAAATTAAGTTTGAATTATTAGTTGTGGAGCTATGATCTGAAAAAAAATCTGATACTGATGTAGATGAACATTCTGATGATTTATGATTATTTTTTGAATTTTTATTATTTGTTGATTGATTTGAATAAAAATTCACACATTCGTCTTGCACAAGTTTCTTTGCTTCCTGTAATGTCAACGACTTTAACATGTAATTTTCTAAAAATTTTTCAAAATAAATAAATAAAAAAAAACTTACTTCTGAAGAATAAGTTGATTTGAAACGTGGGTCTAATAAGGAGGCCATATTTCCAATTAGTGCTGTACGATCGTAGAAAAATGTTTGAAAATAATTGGGAGTATTTAAAAAATTATAAATCGAATCTATAATTGCTAGAATCGTGTCTGACTCTAAAATATCTCCAACAGAACGAAGCTCATTCCTTATATTAATAGCTTTTAATTTTATTTTGTTGATTAATTCGGTAAGAATCGATTGCATGAAATTAATTGTTAAATAATCATAATCGTTCATAATCTTTTCTACTAATTCTAAAGGTTCGAATATTTGAGATAATTTAGATAATAACTTGAATTGTGAAGCATTTGGTAGCAATTCTTCAAGGTCATTTCCGATGCTTTCAATGTTCTCATCTCTATCGCTACACCAATTACTAACTAAATTATTAATTTGTTTTTCCATTAAAACAATATATTTTAATCCAAAGTAAGTAAAACTCCATTTCCCTTCTATAATCCTGCCAATATCAAAAATAATCGAATCATCAAGTGACTTTTGCAATTCTTCTTGCGCCTCCTCTTCCTTTAAAACTTTAATTATATCAGGAATTTCTTCAATTATTTTTTTGATTTCTTCAATTTTTTTTAGAATGTCTTGATTTTCAATATTCAAACATTGATCTAAGCATGTCGATAATAATGATTCTAGGAATTCTGTAGCATTAATAATATATTCAAGATTATTGAATTCTGGTGACACGGATAATTCATCCTCAACACCAAAGTTTGTGGTAATAAATTTAGAACCTGTTAATTCACATTTTTTTATTACTTGTTCGATATATCTATCAGTTAAAGTGATATCATTATCAAATTCCTTCATACATAAAAGAATTTTATGAATTTTAAAATCTTTTGTTAACCAATGACTAGTAATTTCTACGTAAGTTTTTTCTATAAAATTTTCACTATCAATACACCAAACATGAATTGCTAATGAAACGGATTCCGCATATTGAATCATTTGTTTTAATTTTAAAAATAATTTATCATAAGTTTTATTAATTTGATCTTCAATTTCTAAAGTCGTTGGTATTTGATATGGTTTATTTAAAAATCCCGCGGAAACCATATGATTTACAACATTAAAAGATTGATTAGAGGAAATAATAAATTTAACTAAAGGTAAATTAATTTCAGACCCAGAATTGATATTAGTTGATTGAACTTGAGTTGATGATTTTATAATTTTATGTATTTTTTCAAGATGTCTTTTAAGATTTGTAGTTGATCCACGCCAAGTGTATTTTGTCGAACATCCAGGAAACGTACATTTTGTTTCGATTCCCATTGTTTCGGGATATGGTTTAAAGTATTTCCAACAAAAACTTCTTCCATTAGTACTTCCAGTACGTCGACGTTTTACATGTTTATTAATTTCAGTAGTGTCAGATGAACTTTCATCATCAGTATCCATTATTATGTCTTAACAGTTAAAATGTTGTTAAACGTACGTAAATGAATCTGTTTACTAATTCCTTCATTTAATTTGGCGTAGAATTACACAATCTTTTTTGTAACACTATTTATGTTGGTCATTTACATAAATATCCTGCATCGATACTGCTTAAAATTTTGATGAAAATTTACAATTGTACGTATAGTTTTTTTTTTTTTTTCTCGTTTAAGATTAGGTTAAAATTTAAAACATTATATAGATTAGTATATAGTGACCCTAAATTTTAGTTTCTAATGCTAAAAAAAATCAATTTTTATACAATATAAAATTTACGTTATTAAGGGTAGCGTTGGCTAATATATTAAGATTAGAGGGTTGCGGCATACCAAAATTTCACAATGAAAACTTTAAATTAGTAATTTCATTAGGAAAATTTATTTAAAAGAACTGTGAAATTTAATTGGATAGTGAATTTTACCTCTTTTTATCGTTATTTGAGCAAAAATTCAGTGGCTTAAATAGATACGAATATACATATTTAGTACGGTAAACCCTAAATCTAAAACCTACATACCCTATTACCCGCTTTAAATTCATTTAGTTGGAATAATAGATGAAATAGTACGTAGTACGTAGTGCATACTGAAATAACGGACTGACATGGGGTGTTATTTTGAGTTACGATATAGTTTGTGCATATTTAGAGAACACCTAAAAAATTTCTTGGCCAATAAAAATTTTAAGATCGGGTGTGACGCAAAACTAATTAAAATTTACAGTGAAATTTTTAGTATACCTAAAACTCCAATAACAAAACACTAACATAACCTATCAGCAAAAATTATTAAGACTGGTATTACAAGTCTTATACATTTAAAGTTCTGTATCATTAATAGATGACTTCCCGCCAAACAGATAGTTTTTAATACAGTACTGCAGTACAATGCCCTGACAGTTAAGATTGACCCGAACTAGAGTTAACGTTAAGGTTAGCCTGACTTAAAGTTGTTTAGAATTAGATGATTGTATTTCTCAGTTACTAGGCAAAGTGTGGATATTGATGATGACTATAAATAGCTACTGTACTACGAGCATGATTAAAGGTATTAACAAATATTATCCAGTTTGTAAATCTGAAGAACGAAATGACATTAATAATATAAAACTTTTTTTAAAAGGATTTACTAATTAATGACCTGGATTATCAAACTTTATGATCTTGTCTTCGTACTGTTTATCTGAATACGTATTAATTTTATTAACTATAAAATTATAAATTAAAGTTTCGAGTATAATTATTACTAGCCAATTGTAAATACAGTATATTTTTTGGAGCTAATTAAAATTAGGTAAAAAAAATGATATCATAGCCCCGTTTTTAAAAAATCCATATTTTATGAATTAACTATTTATGTGATAGTGTGTTATTAAAGATAATTTTTTACTGGCGCAATTTTTATTTGAGTGTTACGTGATATAATCGACAGGGTATGTCAACGATCTCAAATAATTGGGAGGAGGACAATTTTTTATCCTACACAACATATTTCATATAATTTGTTAATTTGTATACGTACACAAGATTTGCCATCATAGATTTTTCCGTACTCAAGCATGACAAATAGACCTTCACGATTAATTATTAGTTACGTAAATCATATTGTAATAAGATATCTGATATGGTTATGGTTATGTACGTTCGCTTATTACATCAAAAAAGAATATTTTCATTGCTTTTCTGATGCTAGTTCAGTAGTTGAAAGTGAATTACAAGTTTGTAGAATAAAAGTTGGGGAATTCACGCCACATGTCCAATTATGAAGATTGTTTTGTTTATCATGCGTAAAAAAAAAAAAACACATACATAATATGCTATGCGTAAGAAGTATTACAATTTGCAAAGATAACATTGAAATTTGGGGTTTCTTATTATATGCACATATAGCGATGGTATTATTTCTTTATAAATGATAAGTACACAAGTTATACAAATAATAGCAGTTTTAAAATTTACAAATGCAAGTCGATCTTTGCGACATTTCTTTTCATTAATCTTAAAAAAAATATCGTTGTTTTAATACTAATTTCGTTTATATTTTATCTGTGCGTATATCTATGTTCGTTTCCCTGTAAAAAAAAAACTTTGTATTCCATGCTAAGCGTTTCTAGTATTGGAATGCAGAAACACAAACAAACCAAACTCGGTTTTTTCCTGCATAATTTACGTAACTTTAAAAAAAAAACAAGAAAACAAAAAGAGACTAACTAGTTTAAAGAATTAAAAAATATTTATGTTCGAGATATTATTGTTGTGTAAACTCAAGAATTCAAATTGAATTTGAGCGATTAAATAGGATTAAATAGGATTAAATATGATCAAATGGATCAAATGGATCAAATGGATCAAATGGATCAAATAGAATCAAATAAATCAAATAGTTAAGGGATATAATTCGTTCTAAGAAATTATTTTCATTGGTCCACTATTAAACACCAATATATTTTATTGTTTACAGACACTGTTTCTACAATAATAGTAATTTGTAAAACAAATATTCTAAAAACAGAATTAATATCACTTCCGGAATGCACTTAATAAAAAATTGTTTGCGTAACCCTTCTATTGTAACTTATTGTAACTATACTATTTCATATAAATTCTAAATGTTACACTAGTCATTTTATCCCTTCTGTATAAACATGTAATTTGCTGCATTATTAAATTTGAAATTTCTTAACGTCCCCGTACACGATATATTACTAATTTCCATATACGGTACCGAGAATATGTATTGGCTTACCATTAGATAAACTACCTACGTATGAAAATATTTGTCCAATATTTTCGAAATTTGATTTCTTTCTCCCTTTACACATTCATTATATATGTCTTGCACACCTTTCTAACCCTTAAACCAACCTACATTCATTCGTTCATTATCCTGTCTACGATTATTTTTGTCCCACCAACAAGAAAGTAAAAACAGCATATATCGTCAAATCACCACTGCTAAAATCTAGCAAATTAACGAAAAGATTCTTTTTTCTTATCCCATCCTTTTTATCGTTTTTGTAAAAAAAAAAAAATTTTTTTCGGAATTTTTTGTATTATTAAAAAAAAAAAAAAAAAAAATAGTACTTTTTAACGTATACATATTAGCAAATTGAATACTTTCTTTTGTTTTCCGACCCTTACGCGGGCTGGCTCCCTGGAAAAAAAAAAAAAATTTTTTTTTTTTTTTTAAAAAAAAAGTATTTTTTTTTTTTTGTATTCTAACAAAAAAAAAAAAAATTTTGACTCTTTCTGGTTT